GCTGGTGCACTGGGATGACCCAGAGGGATGGGATGGGGAGGGAGGTGGGAGGGGGGTTCAGGATGGGGAACACATGTAAATCCATGGCTGATTCATGTCAATGTATGGCAAAACCACTACAATATTATAAAGTAATTAGCCTCCAACTAATAAAAATAAATGAAAAAAAAAAATTCCATGGGCAGAGGAACCTGGCAGGCTACAATCCACAAGGTCACAAGAGTTGGACACAACTTACTGACTAAACAAGAAACAAAAACCCTAAACACATGTTAGCCATGGTTCTTCTTCAGTGCTGATTCTATACTATCCACTTTCTGTGCATTATCTCATGGAGGCCTTGAAGCAATGTCTTCAGGCAGGTATTATGAACATCCCCACTTAGGAGATGGGAAATTGATGCTTAGAGTAGTTAAGTGACCTGCCATGTATTGTAACTACAAAGTGGCAGAGATAAGGTTAGAACTCAGGGACAGTTAATCTAGGGTTTGTACTTTCAATGTGTATGCTGCTCCTACTATGGCAACAAAACCCTGACATGAGACCTTCAGCCTGGTGGCAGGGACAGCACTTTCCCTGGATGGAGCTTGGCCTGCCCCTTCACTGCCCAGGCAGCCAACATGCAGCATGCAATCCCCAGTGCAGAGCCTCTTTCTGGGAGCTGGGACTGACCCAGGTCCCTGACTGCAAGTAGCAATTGACCCCATATGGCAGATTCAGACATCAACTGAAAATATGGAGGAGTCAGAGAGAGCAGGAGAGGCGACTAACCTTATGAGGATACTCAGTGCTCCCAGAGGGGTGACGACTGTGGCAGGAGCGAATGCGTAAGCCCCGAAGTTGGCAACTTCCCCAGCAGCCACTAGGAAATGAAGGGAGAGAAGAGATCACCGTGGCTCAGATGCACCATCTCCAGCCCAAATGAATGTGGGTGGAGACAGCTTCATTCGGTGTTCACCCCTTCACAGAATCCCAGACCAGCATTCATTATAATCCCAATCCTTACATTTTCTCCCTGCAAAATCTCATCTAAAGGTCAGGCCCAGACCATCCTGACAAAATCCTCTCATTTTAAAGATAAGGAGGTGGCCTAGAGTCCAGGGTCACATGGCTTCTTCTTGTTCTAGAGGTCTCTTGGCTTCTAGCCTAAGCACGGTTAAGGGTATCTCAGACCAGTGATTGGTCTGTATGATTAAAGTAAGTTCTAAAAAGTGAGGCAGCAAGGAGATCAAACCAGTCAATCCTAAAGGAAATCAACCCTGAGTATTCATTGAAAGGACTGGTGCTGAAGCTGAAGCTCCAATACTTTGGCCACCTGATGCAAAGAGCCTACTCATTGGAAAACACCATGTTGCTGGAAAAGATTAAGGGGCAAAGAGGCGAAGGAAGCAACAGGATGAGATAGTTGGATTACATCATTGACTCAATGGACATGAACCTGAGCAAACTCTGGGAGATGGTAAGGACAGAGAAGCCTGGCATGCTGTAGTCTCTGGGGTCGCAAAGAGTTGGACATGACTTAGTGATTGAACAACAACAACTAGAAAGTGTTAATTATCAAATAAAGAAACAGCCACAGTCATCGATTCTCCAGGTACCAAATGGTCCATGGAGCTGTCTTTCCCAGAGTAGTTGTGGATAGTCTAGACAGGTGGTTAGACAGATGATGTTCCCAAAGGGTCTACTTCTCCCCACATGAGTTTACAGTCTGAAGACTCCTGTCTCTCTGCTCATAGAGAATGACCTGGGTCTGCCCTTTGAAAGCAGGTGATGAATGTGATAACTCTGGCTAAGATAGGGATTAAAACCTGACTTCAGTCACTCAGTCATGTTGGTCTCTTTGCGACCCCATGATCCACAGCATGCCAGGCCTCCCTGTCCATCACCAACTCCCAGAGTCTACCCAAACCCATGTCCATCGACCATGGACATGGTCCAACCATCTCATCCTCTGCCCTCAATCTTTCCCAACATCAGGGACTCTTCAAATGAGTCAGCTCTTCACATCAGGTGGCCAAAGTATTGGAGTTTCAGCTTCAACATCAGTCCCTCCAATGAACACCCAGGACTGATCTCCTTTAGGATGGACTGGTTGGATCTCCTTGCAGCCCAAGGGACTCTCAAGAGTCTTCTCCAACACCACAGTTCAAAAGCATCAATTCTTCAGCGCTCAGCTTTCTTTATAGTCCAACTCGCACATCCATACATGACCAATGGAAAAACCATAGCCTTGACTAAGGGGATTATAAACAGAAAGCTCACTACTTCTCCATCCAACCCAGAGAATTAGGGCTTGAAAGCCAGAAAGGGTGGTGGAAAGTGGGGGGAAATGTGTGAACGTGCAAGTTTGGACAAACCTTAGGTGGCCAACCAGTCACATCCTAAGTGAGACAACTGCTTGTGGAATGGGACAGCTGACTTAGGAGTCCCGGGCTGTGCCCTGTAGGAGTCTGGGAGACTCTGACAGGCAGTCATAGCTCCCTGCCTTTCAGAGGAAGTTGAGAAATTATACCTTTATCATTACCAGTTCTGTACAAACCTCTCTGGGGTCAGATGCTTTGTGGATGAAAGACTGACTGTGGATGGAGAAAGTATCCTGAGATGCCAGGTGAAATGTTCTACTTGCAAAGACTATCAAGGTTTCCCCCCCTAGAAATCTGGCCCTTGGATGCATATTTTGCACAATAGAGACATCTATTCCTTCTTTCATCTCTGCCTCTATCATCAATAGGGTACTGTCCTTAGTAGCAAAGAATCCACTCACCAGGGACTTCTCTGGTGGTCCAGTGCCTAAGACATTGAGTTCCCAAAGCACAGGACCTAGGTTTGACCCCTGTTTGGGGAATGAAGGTTCTGTGTACTGCAACTAAGACCTGGTACAGCCAGAAAAGAGAGAGAGAGAAAGGACCTACTTACTCGTGAGAAATCCAGCCCACCACATTGAGTCCTTCAAGTAGCCGTAGCCTCCATCCACTGTAGAAAGGAATGGGAACTAAGTTAGAGGTTGGCCACACTTTGCCAGGACCTTTCCTTCCCTTCCTTCACTCCCCAGTCTCTAAAGGTTCAGTACACGTCAGCTGTGGTGCATCCTCCAGGCTTCCTTCTGGGCCCTCTCCTGGGCAAGTGCATCCTTTCCAAAGTTTTAAACTCCATCTGGATGCTCATGTCCCTAGTTCATGTATGCATCCTGATCCTTTCTTCTGAGCCCTGATGTGTATCTGGTTGCTTGCTCAACAACTCTTGGGTCTATCACAGGTATCTCAAACTCTATCCTAAATGGAACTCTTGATTTTAAAATGCTCCCACCCACCAAATGAGTGGGTTTGCTTCCCAGTTTGCTCAATGGCAAAGAATCCACTTGTGACGAAGGAGATGCAGGTTCGATCCTTGGGTTGGGAAGATCCCCTGGAGAAGTAAATGGCAATCCACTCCAATATTCTTGCCTGGGAAATCCCATGGACAGAGGAACCAAGTGGGCTACAGTCCATACAGTTGCAAAAGAGTTGACAAGACTTAGCAACCAAAACAACAATAACCCGCCAAATGAAACTCAGTAAGGGGCATCTCCGTGTATCTAGTTGCTTGATCCAGAAACCAGGGAATCACACTGGCCCCTCCCACTACTCCACAGTCTGCATCCAGTCCACCCTGTGCATTCTGTCTCCAAAAAGCATCTATACGTGTCCACTCCACTGCTACCACCCAACTCCCAGGCACTATTACTTCTGGCCTGGGTGGAGGCAACCACCTCCTAGGATTCCTCCAGCTCAATCCTGTCCCTTTATAATCCATCACTTTCATAGTAGCCAGGGGTTTTTAACAATTATGTCACTCCTCAGCTTAGAGCTGGCCAGTGGCTTCAAAATACTCTTAGGATAAAGACCAGAACTCCTAACAAGCCTGATCCTAGTCCTGACCCTGCTCACCTCTCCAAAGACATCTCCCACCACTCTTCTTTCTATAGTCTAGCCACTCCGGCTGTCTTTGCGTTCTTCAAAAATGATGAGTTTGTTTTGGCCTTAAGGGCTTTGTGTGTGTTTTTCCGTGTTCAGAATAATCTTCTTAACAATACTTGCCTATACCTTTACTTACTCTACAGGTCTCCGCTTGAACGTTGCTTCCCCTAAAATGCCCTCCCTTCGGTTTTTCTCTCATCACACTCAGTTCTTCTCCTTAGTAACACTGTCTATAATTTGATCTATTTATTTTCTGGCATTTCCCCTACTAAAATGGAAGCTCCATGAAGCCATGAATTGTGTCTGCTTTGGTCACATGATGCACTCAGAGCCTGGCACACAGTCAAAACTCAAGGTTAACAATGAGGAGGAGGAGGATGGGTTTTAGACAGTTTTATTTAAAACTTGAATGTGGTTTTTTGTAAATACCCATTTTTCTAAGATAGCCCTTAGCTTTCATCAGGTTCTTAAAGGAGTCAGAATCTCTCATAAAAGCTAAGAGCTCTGAGAGCATTTTATTGAGTTGAAATCTCAGAAGGTATCGAAATAGTAGATTAAAAAAAAAAAAAAACTCATTCCAGGAAAGCTGCCTTTCTGAATGATCAATGATACTTGCCCTGCTCTCTCCTGAGTGCAAGCAGCTGTTTTTCTGGGACTTTAGGAGGTCTCCGGCCTTTGGAACACTTGTCCGGAAGTAGAGATAGAGCAGCAATGACTGCTGACTCTGACTTTATCCCCAAACCTCACAGCTCTCCATTTTTAGAGCACATCTGATTCTAGTCCTGGGTATCCAGCTGTGTGCAGGCCCTCCCACTTAGATCACAGTAATACTAATACTAGTGCTTAGTCTGTGCCATGCATCTCTCTAAACACACTACATATCTCCACAACAATCCTTTAGCCTGGACTACTCCTATCCCTAGTCTGTCAGATGAGGAAGCTGAGGCACAGAAAAATGAGTTTTCTTGCCCAGGATCACATCACCAGGAACCAAGGAGCTACAGTTGGTACTCAAGGAGTCTGCTTCCAAAGCTCAGTGTCAAGCAGAACATTAAATTGGACACGTCCAAACCTGAACACATCATCTTCCTATAAACCTGCTCTTCCTGAATCCTTTATCTCAGAAAATAGCACCATCATCTTCCCATTTGCTCAAATCGGAGAGTTCTGAGTCATCCTGACTCACTTTTTCACCCTCCCTTTCGAGTCAGGCACCATCGAACTCAGTACATTCTACTTTCAAAAACTATCCCTGGACTCCACCACTTGTCTCCATTCCTACCACAGTTTCCTTGCCCAAGTTCTGTTGTTTTTCTCCCCTAACTTTTCTCTTAGCCTCCAGTCTTACTCCCAAATCCAGTTTGCACCCAGAAGCTAGGGGTCTTTTCAAATCATAAATTGAACTACATCATTTATGCCTGCTTAAAATTTTCATCACTTGCAATTACACTTAAACCCTGGAGCCTAGTTTACAAGACCTTTCATTAGCTGGCCCTCACCCCATCCCTTATCCCTCCATGCTCCAGCCATCCCGTGATACTTGCAACTTCTAATATCAATCACACTTTCTTACCCCGGGCCTTTCTTTGTACATGCTGTTCTTTCTGCCTGGAATTCTACATCTTTCTCTTTTCCCACCTTGTTATTTCCATGTCATATAGTCTCAGCTCCTCAAATTAGCCTTTACAGAAAACCTCCCCTACCCTCCAAGCCTAAGATTTACATGCCCCTCCAAAATATTGCCATCAGTTCAGATCAGTTGCTCAATTGTGTCTGATTCTTTGCGACACCATGGACTGCAGCACTCCAGGCTTCCCTGACCATCACCAACTCCCAGAACTTGCTCAAACTCATGTCCATCGAGTTGGTGATATCATCCAACAATCTCATCCTCTGTCATCCCCTTTTCCTCCTGCCTTCAATCTTTCCTAATATCAGGGTCTTTTCCAGTGAGTCAGTTCTTCGCATCAGGTAGCCAAAATATTGGAGCTTCAGCTTTAGCATCAGTCCTTCCAATGAATATTCAGGACTGATTTCCTTTAGGACTGACTGGTTTGATCTCCTTGCTGTCCAAGGGACTCTCAAGAGTCTTCTCCAACACCACAGTTCAAAAGCATCAATTCTTTGGCATTCAGCTTTGTTTATGATCCAACTCTCACATCCATACATGACCACTGGAAAAACCATTTTCCCCATGATAGCATTTTCCCCATGATAGCACTCAACATGCTACAGAACAATTGCTCATTGACTTGCCTCTCTCTCTCACTCAGCCTAATGACCCACAAGGGCACTGTGTTCCCAGGTCTAGCATGACACCTGGCACACAGTAGGGACATAATGAATGATGTCCCTAAATGGAGAGATTCTTTTACATAGGACTCCTTTTCTCAACAACTGTTTCATGGATACACATCTTATTTTCCAAACAAGCAAATCCCAGTGGACAGAGACTCAGTAATTCTTTTGTAGCCTATAGAGGAGCTCAGATTGATAGTAAGTGAGGACACATTACTGTCTGACACTGTTATGGGCAGAAGTTTTATATTCCCATTTTTTATGGAAGTTATGACTTGCCTACAATGACACAACTGGTAAGAAATAAAACCAGGGGACTTCTTTGGTGGTCTAGTGGCTAAGATTCCATGCTCCCAATATAGGGAGCCTGTGTTTGATTCCTGGTCAGGGAACTAGATCCCACATGCCATAACTAAGACTTCTCATGCCACAGATATAGATCCCGCATACAGATCAAAGATCCCGAGTGCCAAAACTAAGACCTGGGGCAGCCAAAAACAAAAAATAGAACTAGACATGGGGTTTTCTTAGTCTTGGCCCTGGGACTTTTCCCTGTCTTCACCCCAATTAACTGATCATGTAGTTCTCATGAACTACTGGATTATAAAGGAGGGTCTCCTGCTGGTGGAGGAGATTCCCAATGGGACTGACAGCAAGGCTTTTGTGCCCAGCTAGGACCAGCTCGCAAGCTGCTCCAGTGGGCCCATGAATAGAGGCTCACAGGGCTGGCTAAGGGCTTGCCACCCAACACCCCATCCGCACCTGCCCCCTCAGGAGCCTACCAGCCCGCGTGGCACCCGAGGCCACCAGTCGCTGTAGGCCCTTCTTCTTGAGGATGACGCTGCTGCCGACGAGGAAGCTGGACAGGATGGCCAGCCCCAGACCGACGTAGAAGCTGTAGTTCTTCCTGAACCTCTCCTGCCAGCTGTCGGAGGTGACATTGCTGGGCACCTCGGGCTGGAGGTCACTGACGATCTGGCACAGGACTCTTTGGGAGGAGCAGTACAGGCTGATCAGGGAACCTGAGAAGAGCATGGTGAGACAGTCAGGTGGGAGCTTTAGAAGCACTGGGACTGGCCACTGTTTCAGACTCCACCCTTCAGCTACTGCCGCATTCCATCCACATCCTGGGCTCCAAACTAAAAAGGAACAGTTAAGGGTCACTGAGTCCAGACAACGGACTTTATGAACTCATCAAGTCCTTCCAGCCACATGTCAGGTAAGCACTGTCTTTGATTCTCATTTCATAGATGTGGAGATGGAGGCCACGAGAGGTCAGGAAACTTGCCTAAGAACACAGCCTGTCTGACTCTGGAGCTCCAGCACCTCATCATTAAGCCAGAAAGATGCTCCCACACACCAAACAGGGGTCCTCCCAGCTCTCAAGCATCACTGAATCCAACCTCCTAGCCTCCACAGGAAACATCTCCCACCCTCCGGGCACAGAGGCCTCTAACAGCTCAGGAGCACACATATTCTCCCCTTCCAGAGGCTTCTTCACTTACATATACTTAACTCCAGCCACAGCAGGGAGTCCCTACAAGTAACAGGAGGGAGTGAGGCTGGAGTGCACAGCCCCTCTGGGGCCTGAAGGTGATGAAATACCAGCACCTTTGTCTATGAGAACCAACCATCCCAGGTCTTACTTTGAAGACTTCTGATGAGCATGGTCAGTGGCTGGGGCCTCCTTCAGGCCTCAGAGGAACCAGGGTCCCTGCCATCCCACACAGGCTTTGTCTAGGCTCTCTTTCCAAGTCCCCGAGTCTGCAAGAGTCATCAGTTCTCATGCCCTTCAGCCAGCCCACTCTTGCTGGTTCTTCTGGCCCAAACAGCAAGGACAAGAGGACAAACCTGGGCATGAGGGGCAGACCCTTAGTCAGTAGAATGAAGCTGCTCAGGTTCAAGGAATCAGTACAAAACACAGACTGGGACTCACAGGGCCCACTGCTCCAGGACTTTCCAGGAGCATCCTTGTTATAGAAATGGCACAGTGATGATGCCCAGGGCTTTACCTGAAGAAACTGGGGCCCTGACAAGCTCAGTAACCTGGGGTTACACTGTTGATAAGCAGTTAAACCAGAATTATTTCTCAAGTGCATAGAATTCCAAAGCCCATGCTCTTGGTCACTACATATCCTCCACAAAGCAGGCAGCAAGGGGGCTGGGTTCCACTTAGCCTCTTGAAGGTTATCTTAAAATATGAACTCTCTGCTCACATTTAAAAATCAGATTTCCCACAAAAACTCCACTTCAGGGCTGCCTTTGCTTACCTTGCTGGGTACACTCTCACACAGGCGACCACTGGCCGCAGCTCAACAAGGGTTTTTGCCCCTAGATAGAACACAATCTTTCCGATTCCCCAGAGTCCAGACCCAGCTCTCTTCAGTCATTGTTGTTATGTTCTCGGCCCCTTGAAACATCTGAATTTGTGACTTTTGGTGGTAGAAGGTCTTTTACAAACTGTGTGTTACAAAGACCCAAGCTCCCATGCCAAGGATATAAGGCTGGGCCTGGCACTTCTCCTCGGGCCAAGCCAGACCTCTGGACCTGCACTGGAAGAGCCTCAATGCCCAAAAGGTGAGGCAGCTTTAGCTCTGGCACATCTGGAGCACAGAGTGGCATTTCAGTGGAACAAAGTAAGGGCAATGTTGACCTTTCTTCCACAGCATAGAAAGCATGGAACAGCAGCAGCCCATCTAACCTTTTTTCTTTAAGCTGGGAAAACGGAGGCTCTGAGATGGGGAAGGATTTGCTTGAGTCTCACAAAAGCCTGGAGGCAGAACTGGGTCTGGAACCCAGCAGGAGACACCCAGGCATCTTCTGCAGTGGGAGACCTCTCTTCCCCACACCTGTGTCACAATCCAGAGAAGAGGAGACGAGAAACCATCTGAGTCCTTAATCAGACTTGTCCTGACTGCTCACTCCTGTTCCTCAACTTGGACAGGAGTCAAGTCCTGGGAGTTCCCTGAGCTCAGGAAAAGAGCCAGAGCTGGGACGATGCCGGCCAAGGAAGGCAACTCCCCAGAGGAAGTCCAAGCCCATCCCCACGTCCTTCCCCTGCCCTCCTGAAGGTACATTTCCAGCAGGTGGAGCCAAAGGGTGGACTTGGCAGTTTGGGGGAGGCCTGAGGAGCCAAGGAACTTAGTGCCCTCCATCAAGTCACGTCTTCCCATAGGGGTGGAAAGAAAAGGGGGGGAAGGCTGAGGGCCAAAGGGAACTCAATCCTGAGGAGGATGCGCCGCTGACAAATGGATGCTGGGTCAGATGATCCCTACTTGTCCCCTAGAATATGCTAGGACCGGAAAGTGTCCCCAGGGGAAGGTGAGGCTGAAAATGTTCAGAAAACCAAAGACAGCTAACACCCAAAAGGCCTGTTTTGAAAGCTTCACTGGAGAAGAGAAGTTAGAAAAAACAGGGATATTCCACAGGCTGCAAAACCAAGACAGGTAGAAAAATGGAGATATGCCAGAAAATGGGGTGAGCACAGTGGTGTAAGCACAGGTTTTAGAATCCAAGAGCCCTGGTTTTGTATTCCATCTCCCCACTGTATTACTTTGAGCAAGTTCATTGGACTTTTCAGAGCCTCAACTTCTGTCTGTCTTTGGAATGATGACAAAGGTGGTAATATCTACCTGCCTTCTAGAGCTGTGTTAGGGATTAGTTGGGATAATACAAGTGAAGAGGCTAGTCCACTCCCCAGGTTCATAACTCGAGCATGAGGCTCAGCATCTTTCCTTTTCCTTTCCCGGGTTGTTCCTTCCCTCTTTTTCCTAAAAGGTGGATATGGGTTTGGGGGTGGTGGGGCTCTGTGCCCACTACCCTATCTCTGGTGAGCCCCAGGGAGACAGGCCTGGGCAGGTACTAATATCCAAAGCAACTACATGTAAAAGAAATCCCGACAACCTCCCCCCAATCCTTTCGATGGACCGGCTCCAAACAATCAAGCCACGCCTCCTTCTCCCACTCCCCCCTCTTCACCCCCTCTCCGCCCCCCAGGTCCAAAGAGGAGGAAAGTCAGCCAGAATCCTGCTCCTTCCCGAGACGGGCCTGAGAACTAGGTGGGGGGGACAAGTGAGGACCCCCTGCCCCGTTTGGGGTCCCCTGGCAGGAGAGGACATGGCAGAAAGGAGCAGCGCGACGGGAAGGCGAAGCGCAGGGTGCACCGGGTCCCCGCCGGTCCCCGCCGGCCCCACGCACCGTTCTCGCAGCTGCTGTTGCCGGCCGGCAGATCCATGGGGCTCTGGGCACGCGCACCGACTCACGGGCTGCCGGCGCCCCAGCTTCCCGGCTCCGGAGCAGGTGGCTGAGAACTGTCCCAGCGTGGCCGGTGTGCGAGGAACCGCTGGGGTCGGACCGGGGGTGGGGAGAATGACGCGCCCCAGAGGGGGAGGGTCCCCGGGGAGGAGCCACCCGGCCTCTTGGGCAACTCCGCGGGCCGGGGGCTCTGTGCTCGAGCTGCGCGCGGAGGGGTGCATGCCCTCCTGGGGTGTGAAGGCTGCCTGGCGCACTGCGAGGGATCACCACCGCACACCGCAGGGTGCGAGAGGGCGGGCCCCGGGCGCCGCCCCGCCGCGCGATGCCAGACGACACCCAGTTCCGTCCCCATGACACAGTTGATGGGCTGCAGCGAGGCTGCAGAAGGAGCAACTTTCTGGCCGAGGTGGAAGTGGGAATGTGGGGGTGGAAAGGGGGGCTCTGCTGCCAGCTGGAGCCCTCTCAGGCCAGGGGTGCCTGGGATCCTGGTTTTTTTTTTCCCCCTTTCTGCCTGCCTTTCCGCCTCCCTGCCTTATTCATTCATTCAACCTAGGTCTGATCAGCACGGGGACACTAATAGGTAACAGGCAAACAAAGTAGGTATTCAACAAATGGTCCATTCATGTATGTGGAATGAATGAGGGTGGAAACTTGGTAAACTGAAATGAGAGAAGGGAATGAAGTGCTTAGAGGTCAAAATGAATCAGAAATATTCCCTGTCCCCTAAGAACCTTATGTATCATTAATAGGGGAAACAAAATGGGATCAACTCCCCAGAGACTGGGGCTTTCCAAATCACCACTGAAAAGAAAAATGGAGGTGAGGGAAAGTACATTTGTTATTGTGGGGGCTAGTAAAAAGTTCAAGAAACACTGAGCCGGACCATAAAAACACTAGGGCAGTCCTTGCTTATGGTCCAGTCACAGCCGTTAGTGCTGAAAAGTCTCCAGTTCATTTAATCCTCACGACAACCTTACTTGCAGCTTTATGATTTAAAGAAAGGATATTGAGGCACAGAGAGATCTAGCAACTTGCCCCAGGGTCCCAGCTAGGAAGTGGAAGAGCCCAAATGAAATGCATGCTCCTAGCAGCCACACCAAGCCTGGCATTTTAGGCCAAAATAATCTTGTGCTCCCGAGTAGTGAGGACATGGGAGTGCCATGTTGTGGTCAGTTCTGCTAGGTCACTGGCCTCCTGGAGAAAATAGCTTCTTAAAGTAGTTATTTACTGAGTCCTCACTCCCAAACAGGTACTAAAGCCTTACAGGCATATTTTATTGAAGGCTTCTGTGAGGCGGAGGTTACTCTCCATGGTATAGATAAGGGAAAATTGTATAATTTTTTGATTATGAAATAATTTTGAATTTATAGAAGAGTTAAAAAAATATTACAGAGAGTTCCCATATACCTGTCACCAGTTTCCCATAATAACATCTTATATAGGAATAGAAAAAGTCGTATTTTAAATACTGAGAAACACACCCCTCCCAACACCACAAGGTCCCATAGCCAGTAAGTGAGGGTGTCAGGAGTAAAAGAGCTGCTATGCCCCCAGCTGTCTCCCCAACCACCACCCTCCCCCCTTTACTGGTGGCCTTCTAGCTGGGCCTCCAAGGATGGGTTCTTCCAGCATGTGGCTTCCCTTAACTTACTGAATGACTTAAAAAAGTTACTTTGTCTCCAGAAGGATCAGTTTCCTTACCTGTCAAATAAGAGAGCCCTTTCTGCTCCTTTCTGTCTCTGTGTGTGTGTCTGTGTGTATCCATTATCTGTAAACTTTACCATGGGGTCTAGGGTAGGGTAGGTAGGGCAGAGGTCCAGAGATTAGAAAGGAAAGGGAAGCAACAGATCCAAGTTCATGTGTCTTTACCCCTAACATCCAAGCCTGTCCCTAACCTTGGAGGGATGTGGTGCCGGAGTTCAAATGGAGGTGAGTACTTCTCAAGACCAGCGTGAACTGGAAAGCACAGCAGCAAGAAATAGATTGGCCCTCCTGGGAAATGGTACTTCATTACAGGAAAAATGAATGAGGGAGGACATGACAAGAGAATTTAGTCTGTCTTTTCTCTTACCTGGACTTCCCAGATGGTTCAGTGGTAAAGGATCCGCCTGCCAACGTAGGAGATGCAAGAGACACAGGTTCGATTCCTAGGCTAGGAAGATCCCCTGGAAAAAGGAAATGCATCCCACTCCAGTATGCTTGCATGGAAAATCCTGGAAAATAGAGGAGCCTGGCGGGCCACAGTCCACGGGGTCGCAAAGAGTTAGACACAACTGAGCATGCGCACACTCTTAGCTAAGCCTTTCTGCCACTCAGATCCCACCTGTGCTATAAAACAGAGCCATCTCTGAGGCTGGCCAAGGTACAACCCTCAAACTTTCACTGCATTGTTCCAAGGACACAGGACAAGAGAGGTGGAGTGCTTCGCTTTGGCCTGGGCTTTTTAAGTCACAAGAGAAGATCTTGGGTTATCACTGCCTTGTGCCAGAGCTGAGCCTAGATCGTGGGAGACAAATACATGCGTGTTCTTTAATACATTAATTGTATACATGCTTGTGATTTGTGGAGCTGCTAAATTTCAGAGTATGGGTCGGGGCCCCCTTGCCCAGTTTAAGGGCAATACTGAGTTCACTCTGTGCTTTGAGGCAGGGCTTCTCAGAGTTAGATGGATTTCAAGTTTTAGGGCAAAGGGCTGAGGTGGAGGGAACCGGGATCTATTGGAGGGCCTTCCACACCCTCTCTGGGCCTCCGGGTCCCTGTTTGTTCTAGGAGGGGGTGGAGCCTCCACAGGGCCAGCATCGAACATCCCGGGAGCTCAGACATAAAGGGCCCCATTGAACTGCAGGCTGCTCGGCTGCTGTCCTGACAAAGCCCTTTTCTCCCTGAGCCACAATAGCCTTGTCAGGCAGGTAGCAGGGCCTGCAGCATTGTCTCCCCGGAAAAGAACAACAGGGTCCACTGTCCGGCCCAGGCTCAGTCTCCCAGGGCAGGGCGGGTAGCTTTGGAAGAGTCTAACCAGTCAGGGACAGATGGTCTCTGTCCTTAGCCAGCCAGGGATGGGTGAACCAGCTACATCTCATTTGGCCACTTATTCAGGGATGAGCAGGAAAACAAATTTACTAAAACCCAAATTCCTAAGAATTTGGCTTTTTAAGTGCATGTCCAAATATTTTATGATATAGAGCTGCACTGTCCAATATGGTAGCCACCATCTCTATGTGGCTATTTAGAACTTGGAAAGTGGCTAACCTGAACTGTGCTTTATGTGTAAAACAGGGACTGTTACCATTTGGGGCCGGATAACCTCTGTTGTGGGGGGCTGTCCTATGCACTGTAGGGAGTTTAGCAGCATCCCTGGTCTCTGCCCTTTGGATGCCAGTCGCACACACATACCTCTGCCTGCCATCCTTTACCCCTCTTGGTTCTGATAACCAAAAACATCCCAGACAATTGTCAAAATTGCCCCAGATCGAGAATCATCCAGATTTCAGAAACTTAATAAGAAAAAAAGGTATACAATATCTCATTCAATAATTTTCTAGTATTGATTACATGTTGACATGCTTATTTCTTGGATATACTACATTAGGTACAACACAGAACTAGGGTGCTGGAGAAGACTCTTGAGAGTCCCCTGGACTGCAAGGAGATCAAACCAGTCAGCCCTAAGGGAAATCAACCCTGAATATTCATTGGAAGGACTGATGCTGAAGCTGAAACTCCAAATACTTTGGCTACCTGATGTGAAGAACTGACTCATTGGCAAAGATCCTAATGCTGGGAAAGATTGAAGGCAGAAGGAGGAGGGGGTGACAGAGGATGAGATGGTGAGATAGTATCACCGACTCAATGGCCATGAGTTTGAACAAACTGCAGGAGATAGTGAAGGACAGGGAAGCCTGGTATGCTGCAGTCCATGGAGTTGAAAAGAGTAGGACACAACTTAGTGGCTGAACAACAATCAATTATTAAAACTACTTTTTTCTACTTCTTTTTACTTTTTATAAGTGGCTACTGAACAATTTATAATTATTGGGTTTGCCAAAAAGTTCATTTGAGTTTTTCCATATGATCTTACAGAAAAACCCAAACAAACTTTTTGGCCAACCCAATATATATAGAATGTGGCTCACATTCTTTTTCTTATTGGACAGTGCTCTTACAGAGGAAGAGACTGAGGGCCAGAGAGGAAAGATGACCTGTGGCAGGTTACAGAGGAATACAGAGCCCCAGAGGCAGAATTCCAATCAGGTTTCCAGACTGGCATCCCGGACCAATGCTCCTATTCCCACATAGTTTCACAGCAGAGAGGATATTCCAAAATCGATATACGGGGTGTTTCAAGTGTGGTGTGGCTGCAAAGCACTGGAGGAAGAATACAGAGTAAAGACATGAGTAATAGAAATGTTATTTGTAGAGGGCTTGCTATATATTTTATGTATGCTCATTTAATCCTTGCAGCAACCTTGGGAAGCAAAGGTTTATTATTTTCCCCATTTTCCAGTCCAGTGAGGACACAGCCTGAAATGTGAGAAGCCAAGAATTAAAGGCAGACACTCTCTTCAATACCACACACACTACTTACAGTCCCAAGTCTAGTAACATCCCATGAGCCTTGGGTAGGCCACTTTTCCTCCTGGCAACCTAAACCAGGTAAAGGGGCTGGAAAAGATGCAGCTTATGGTCCTTTCCAGTCCTGCAGAGCTGGTCTTCAGGTCACGGAGGGGATGGACACTCCGTGCTATCACACCTGGAGGAGTGCTATCACCTCCTCCAGGCTGACCTGGAATCATAGGAATCTCGACGGTTGGTATGCAGAGGCCAGCCCACTCTCCTTCTCTAGGTGGTTCCCCGGGATGGTTGCTGGCCTCAAAGAGAGCTTTACTGTCTTATACTCATAAAGTGCCTAAGAAATAATGCTTAGAATGGACACAAGTGCACTCAGACTGGCCCTAAGAATGAGCACTGTGCCCAGAGATGGGGTCCACAGGCAACTGGCATCAATCATGATTATTAA